GGGGGGGGGGGACGATGGAGCAGCAGAGAGGAGCGAGCAGCGAGGCGCGAGAGCAGCGGGGTGTGATGAGAGGGAAGGCCGGGGAACCCAGGGCTCGGAAGAGCACCAGGGGGCCACTGTGGGAGCCGCCGTGGGAGCTCCGTGGACTGCCGTGCGCGGAAGCGGACTCGCGTGCATTAGTTGAGTGGCGAAGAGCAGTACAAGATAGACCTTTTCGCCGTCGGGGATGCCCTCAAGAGTTCTTCAAGAGGCCCTATAGAAGCACCCCTAAGAGCCCCTCATATGCATCCAAAAATCTCCTGGCCCTGGATATAACTTCCACGGTCGTCTCAAGCACTCACTCCCGGTGGGGGTCGGCGGGCTGGCGTAAGCCACTTGAATAATGTTTTTCGCCGTCGGGGACGCCTGTCCCGGGGTGGCTGCAGACTCTATGCTCCTTCCGTGGCCCGTCAGGGAATGCTCTTTCCAGCCGCCCGGGGGTCGAGCGTCCCCAACGGCGGGCGAGTTTATGTAATACCGTTCTTCGCCCGCTCTGTGCAAGGGTGACGATCGCTGGCCTGCTGGTCTCCCCGCCTGCTGTCCCTGCTCGCCTGATTGCTAGCCTGGTGGCCAGACAATTTTCGGCCAGATCGCCTGCTTCGTCGTGTGTCTGTTGTATTGTATGCCCGTCCGCTCGCTGCCGCTTCCTGCCGCTGGCTGACGTATGGTGCTGCCAGCTGTATGTATGTATATATATATATATGTATGCGGCTCTTGCTCGCCCGTATTTTGGTGTTGGCCGTTGCGTGCTGCTGCTGGGTCCTGGTTGGATGCTGCGCGCCTTTTACGGTGTATTGCTGCTCGCTGTCGCTGTCGTGTGCTGTTGGTGCTGCTAGCCGCGGCTGCTGCTCTTGGCCGCAGGGTGTTGCTGAATGCCACTGCTGCCTGCTGCGTGCTGCTACTCTTGCTGCCTGCTGCTGCTGCATTGTGCTGCCGCTGTGCGCTGTTGCTGCTTGATGCTGCTTCTCGCTGCTCCTACTAGCTGACGCACGCTTTTGCTTGTGAGCGAATCGTGGAGCGAGGAGCAATGACCGAGGAGTCGGGCTCGTTGGGGGGGTGGGAGGAGCGAGGAGAGATCAGCCAGGAGCAATGCGAGAGAAGGGAGGAACGACGGCCGATGAGAGAGGGGCGAGGAGGGATGCTGAAGAGCCGACTACAAGTAAAGGGTACAGGGTGTAAGGGGCTCACTTTTCAATGAATGTAATTACGCAATGCAATAACACTACCATATCATGGGCGTGGTGGGTTTACCCGCCGTGTTCCCAAGAGAAAACAGCGACGGAAGCAAGTAAACGCTTAAGGCGAAGACAGTGCGAAGAATTACCGTTCGAATCTGGTGCTCAAGCGGTTCTGCTTGCGCCTCGCTGGTTCGGATACGCAAGCCGCACCCAAACCAGCAAAACAACATTAGGCTAAGCTGGGGAAACCTTCTACTGACCAGGTCTCACTAAGAGAGCACGCGCGCAGACAATTACAATGCATGGTGTTCTGCTAACCACCCCCTTTATATAAAATTAGCCCAGTGCGACCCTACCTAGGAGTTGGAGGATCTAGGAAAGCAACATCTATATGAAGCTAACTTAAGCTAAGATGAAGCTAAGCTAAGATGAAATAAGCTAAACTAAGATGAGATAAGCAACGCAAAGCTAGGGGGACGTAACTGGGGGAACCGCGGGGCGGATGCCCGGGGCGAATTGCACTGCCGGGCCCTTTAAGCATACCGAGTAAGAGCCCTTCTAGGCAGAGCTTAGGTAGGGAATTCGTGGGGCTACCTTGTACTAGCCGTGTTCTTCATGAAAAATTGCGAGGCGGCAGGCGACTCTGCGGGAGCACGCAGAGACCGACTTGCATGCTCAACTGCCAGAGTCTTGCCGTCCCTCCAGCACAGTTGATGGTGACAGCCCTCTCACTGGTATGCTTTGCTCTTCTTGCTCTCTCATTGGCCGTATCGCATTCGCGTACGCACTGCGTGGTATTCTGGCAAGTGCGTGCCTCTCTTGCTGGTGTGCTATATCGCATTCCCGAACACCGTTCGCGAAATGCGTGTGGATCACTGCGTTCGTGAACATAATCGGACATGCGACGACGAGTGGGTTGCGCAGAAGCGTCGTCGTTTTCCGTTGAAGTTGCCGTGGCGGGAGCTCGGCACCGTGTGCTTGTGCCGTTTCTGGCTCAACCTCCGTGTGGGGTGCTCGTAGGCGAGCTTCCCCCCCATTGTGTCGAGGAAGAGATTTCGGCCGGTACTTCCCTTCGTTGTGGGGTCGGCCCTGATGTCGCGAGTATCTCGCCGCAGCATGTCGGATACCTGTTTGGTGCGTAGCTGGTCTGCTAGCCACCATAAGTGGTCTGCTAAACTCCTCTGCTGAGGCAGGCCCGTGCGCCATCTCGTGGAGCGTCAGGAGGTGCGCCTGTAGGCCGTCTGCTGCTCCGCGTGCTGCGAGCAGCTCAGAGCGGAATGATGATCGACACGCGAGCTTGTGCTATCGGCTCACAACGTCGGGCAAGTGGCAGATCTGCTTACCAATGATGCGGCATTTGCCCTGGCTGGCGCCACGCATGCTGGACGTGTCCAATCTCTTCCTCGCGCTTGAGCGAACCGTCGCTGCGCGCGCAGATCTGGCCTGCGCACTCCATCGCCTGGAAGGTGATGCGTGCCTTGACCTTCTTCATGGCCAGAACAACGGGGTTGAGCTGCATCGCGTGTCTGATGCGCAGCTTGTTCTTGGCCCGTTGCAGCGCGACGGTGTAAACGGAAGCGTGCTGTTGCGCGAGTAGCGCGTCGGCGGGTGCTCCGAGGAGGGAGACGAAAGGGGTTCAGCAGTGGACCTCGGGCCAGTTCGTCGGCCTTCGACTTGGCCAGGTCGACGTGCCTGATGGGATCAGCGCGTCGATGTACTCGCCCTGGTCGAGCGTCACTGTGCCATAGGCACTGCGGTGCTGGTGCGCTCCGCAGTCGGTGAGGGTGAGGTCGTCGGAGTCCCCCTTCACCTTGCCGAAGACGCTCTCGGTGTGGCCGATGAGTCGCTCGACGTGCTCCGTGCGTCGTGCGATCTTGAGATGGTCAGCGTGCTTGGACAACATGAACACTTGATCTGTGCCGCTGGCACAGGTGCCAAACGCCTCCTGTTCGACCTCACTCAGGGTCCCACCGCGTCGGCTTGGTGTTGCAGTCGGGCGGGCGCGTGACCATGGCGAGCTTCATGGATCAAACTCAGGGCGCATCCTTGTAGCCCGTGCCCGGCTTGATGCAATGCAGGCACTCGATCCGTTCGTCGAAGGACTCGTATCCTGGAGCCTGCCTGCGAATGGCAGCACTGCTGGGCTGCGTGGTGAACTTCACCTCTCGTGGTGCTTGAGAGAGAGAGAGAGAGAGAGAGAGAGAGAGAGAGAGAAAGAGAGAGAGAGAGAGAGAGAGAAAGAGAGACAGAAAGAGAGAGAGAGAGGTATCTAAACACATAGAGAGAGAGAGAGAGAGAGAGAGTACGTATTGGGTCGCTCATCATGGGGCCAACTTGGGCGTTCTTCGGTGCTCCTTAGGCTCCCTTGGGGCTCCCGCTGGGCGTCCCTTGGGGCCTCGACGCGCTGTTGTGGGAGGGGTCCCGGGGCGCTCGAGGGGCTTTGGGGCCATGCTGGAGCGATCTTGGGCCGTCTTGGGACCGTCTGGGTGCGAGCTTGGGGGCGTCATGTACCTCCTGAGGGCTTGTGCGGTTCTCAGGGGCCTGCTTTGCAATGTCCCTGGCCCTTGGCGGAGATCTGCAACCAACAATTGGAGAGTAGTGAAACTGCACGAAGATGTGCGGGAATTTCATTCCCAATCATCCTGTGGTGTTGGGTCCTCATTGTGATAAGCACAAGCCCCGCGTCCCACACCTCCTCCTCCTCACCACCCTCTCAGGGTTCGCACGCGTAACTGCAACCATTTCGGCCCCCCCCCCCTGACCACTCCACCCGTTTTGTCATAGGGAGCTCCACTGAAGGCCCCAATGGCAAAGTTCGCATGCGAGACTGCGCCGATCTCGGCATAGCTCTCACACCTTTTGTGCCCATAGGGATCTCCACCGAAGGCCTCAGCGGCAGGGTTCGCACGCGAGACTGCGCCCATCTCGGCACACCTCTCACACCTTTTGTGGCCCCATAGGGAGCTCCACCGAAGGCCCTAGTGGCAGAATTAGCATGCAATGCTGCGCCTATCTCGGCACGCCCCTCACACGTTTCGTGGCCCCATAGGGAGCTCCATCGAAGGCCCCAGTAGCAGGGCTCGCATGCGTGACTGCGCCCGCTTCGGCACGCTCCTCATCCCATGAGGATCGTGGCCCCGCAGGGAGCTTCACCGAAGGCTCCAATGGCAGGGCTCGCGTGCGTGACTGCGCCCGTTTCGGCGCACCCCTCATCACACGAGGATCGTGGCCCCAAGGGGAGCTTCACCGAAGGCCCAGTGGTAGGGCTCGTGCGTGACTGAGCCCATTTCGGCACACCCCTCACGCGTTTCGTGCCCCCCCCGCCTGGAGCTACACCGACGCGCGCGAGACCAAGCCAAGCCGACAGACGCGCAAGCCAGACTAACACGTTGCATTCAGGTGTAACCTTTTACGGCTGACCTCAATGACCCCTATCAATGCCATCGCTTCGTCATTTTCATCTGCGCCCTAGCCATTTTGCTCGCTCTCTTCCTCACTCTCCACCTGCCTGCCTTGCGGCACTCGCGCCTGCATATGGTTGTGTCCTTCGTCGGGCTAGTTATGTTCGCCTGTCGCGGTTGCTCGGCGCAGGCATAATACAATCTCGGGGCCACCTCGGCGACGTCTTGGGGCGTCTTGGAGCCTCTCTGGGGCAGCCTGAGGCCCTTCGAGGGCTCCGCGCGGCCGTCTGGGGTCGTCTTGCGGGTATTCTGGGGCCGTCTGGGGCTCTCGGCACTCCAAGGGGAGGCACCAGGAATGGTTTTATGGCTCCTGGGGCCCTCTGGAGGCTCCGAGGACCCACTGGGTGCAGGGCCCTTCTGCGACGCGCGGGGCCCAGCAACGCAGAACAGAAGACGTCGGGCTCCAGCTTTGCCTCCGACATCTCGCTGAGCAGCGCCAAAGCCCGCTGCCACTGCTTGCCCTTGTCGCACGCGCTGGTCCCAGCGCTGTAGCTGACGACGTCGGGCTCCAGCTTTGCCTCCGACATCTCGCTGAGCAGCGCCAAAGCCCGCTGCCACTGCTTGCCCTTCTCGCACGCGCTGATCCCAGCGCTGTAGCTGACTGAGGCTGACCCGTGGCCTACTGGCCACGAAACAAGTCCGATATTGCACGTTGGACCAGGGCAGAGATGTTGCCGAAAGGCTTTCGTGATGGCGTTGGGCCTGCACCTTGCCTCTGCTTATGCTGCTTGCACCTGCAAGCTTCTGCTGCTTACGGATGTTGTTGCTGCTGCTTACATTTGCTGTGCTGCCGTTGCCTGCTGCGGACTGCTTGGTATCCTTGCTAGATGACGCAACCTGCAGCTCGTGAGTGGAGCGGGGAGCGATGGCAAAGAGCAACGAGTCAGGGTCGAGGGGGGAGGTGGGGGAAGCGAGGAGCGATCAGCGAGGAGCACGGAGCGAGACGAGAGGCTCAATGGCCGAGGAAAGCGAGAGAGAGAGAGAGAGATAGAGAGATGGGGATCCATAATTTTATACATACATATATATATATATATACTATGTATGTATATATATATATATATATTAGAGAGAGAGAGAGAGAGAGAGAGAGAGAGACAGAGAGAGAGAGAGAACGAGAGAGAGAGAAAGAGAGATAGAGAGAGAGAGAGAGAGAGAGAGAGAGATAGGGAGGCGAGGAGGGGTAAGGGAGAGACGAAGGGAAGGGGTGAGGCATGCGTCAGTAGCCAGGAGGGATCACAGAGGAGCAAGAAGCGAGGAGATGAAGGCGAGGGGTGGGAGGAGCGAGGAGCGTGGAGCGAGAAGGGAGGCATGAGAAGAAGCCAGCACACGCATGTCTGGCCTGGCGCTCGCGTGTGGCCCAACATCTGGTCTCCTTCGCTCATGGGGCTCTCTTGGGTGGCCGGCGCGGTCGCAGAGCTATCATGGATCTGCCCTCGGAAGCCTCTCCAAAGCGTTTTTGGGGTGTCTGGGGGCTTGTCGGGGCCCTTTTGGGGCCTGACTTGTGCGTATGAGGGGCCTCCTCGGACTTCTGGGGGGCCTCTTGGGGACCTGCTGGTGGTCTCGGGGGTCATCTTAGGGCGTAGAACGCGACATGTTAGTTCGAGTTCCCTTTTTTGGGGGCCCTCCTGGGCCGTCTTGGGTGCGTTCTGGGCCGTTCTGGGGCTCTGACGGGGGCCTCTGAAGCTGTCTTAAGGGAATTCGGGGGGGCTCCAGGGCCTGCTGGAAGGTTGCGAAAACGACATTTCCCAGAACAGCCCCCCGGGTAAACCGGGGAAGCGGAACATCGGCCGACGAAACTGGCGAGCCGCCGGGGACCGGCCCGATTGCGCCCCGTGCCCCGGAGGGGGCCAAGCGGCCAGGCAAGGCCCAACATTTCGAGCCGAATCCAGCGGAAAACCCAACGACGAGGATAAGACGCCGGGAGCGAGGGCGGCGGACCGCGCGAAGCGTCGACGGGGGGCCCCCGTCCAGCCGCCCGTCCGGGCCAGCGGCGGGCGTGCAGCAAAGGGGGGGCGCGGATGAGGATAGTGATTTTCACGGGCCGCGCGGCACAGCAGTTCCTCGAAGGGAGCGCGTCTGCGCCGCGGGCTTGCCGAGTGCGGCCAGCGTGCTGCGCTGCGCTGCCAGTGGGCAGCAGCGCTGCCAGAGGGCAGCCGCGCCCCCTGCGAAGCCCAGCGTCTCTCACGTCCGCCGCTGCCACGCGCGACGCGCCACGGGCGAGCCCGACCGTGGTCCAGTCGGGGACGGGTCGGCAGCCGCTGACCTGAGCGAGACCGCGTCAGGGGGCGCGTCGCCGGCGGCCGCTACGTCGAGCAAGAGCTTCCTCCTTTTCCCATCAGTGAAGCGGGAGTAAAATGAGCGCGTGACTTCTGCCGAAGCCCATCCGCCTTACGCCTGGATGACCTCATCAGTCAGCCCCTTCGACACCCGCCACCAATGCGCGCCCCCTTTCCGGAATGAGTGGGCGCCGACGTCGCGATCCCTCAGCGCGCGGGCTAGGCTGCAACGAACGGTCTCGTGCGACACTAGGCGAGGGTCCACGCAGCCAATAACGCAGAATAGCGGCCATTCGGGGGCCGTGTCGCACGCATCCCGGCGTTGCGCCAGCCGCCGCCGTGCAAGCAGGAGCGGGCATGAGGCCCCCAATGCTGGGAGCGCCGGCAACCAACGCAGCATCCCACGGCCGAGCGGGTCGTTCTTCTGCTTGCGGATGCGCAACTGCAGGCGGCCATCCGCGTTGCCTGCGTCGCGGAGCTCCAACGCCAACGCCTCGGCTGAACGACGGATGCAGAAAAAGGCCACGCCGGCGAGGGCTTTTTCAGGCCGAGCCAAAAATGCATGGCGCGCGGCGTCCGCGAGGCTTCGTGGGGCTGGGCGCAATCACGCTCGACGTGCCACGCCAGGACAACCGCTTTCGCTGTGGCGGTTGTCGCCCAAGGCCGCCCCACCTGTCCGGCGAACAGCGTCATGATCTTCGCGTTCGTGTCTGCCGGAAGTAGCTGCAATCCAGTGTCCGATTCGTCTGAACTCAACGCGCCGCGCAGGATCGAGCAGTTGCGGTCGCGGGTCCACTGTTCCCAAGCCGCGGCGAAACACTGCTGGATGGCCGCGGCCGCTTTCGCCCTGGCGCCCCGCTCGAGCGGCTGGCGCGCCGAGCTCGTAAACGGGAGCGCTGCCCCCCGAGACTTGAGCCTGGGCGTGGTGCGCTGGCTGAAACAGCGGATCGCCGTCGCCTGCCGTTTTGGGTCTGTCTTGGCCCCTCGGTGAGAAATCGTTTTTCTTGATCCAACGCGCGGGGCCGAGAGGGCTACGAAAAAGGAGAGGGCAGCGAAGGCGGCGGCGGTGGCGCGCGCAAGGGGGGTGAACCGCGGCGGCGCCGGGGAGCAGGAAGTGGCGGCGGCAGGCCCGGCCGCCCCCTCACCCGCGGGCTCTGCGTGTTACCCCCCCGCAGTTGCCGCGGCCTCTTCCCGATCGGAGCTCGCGCCTGAAGTTCTGGGCAACGGGTTCTTCCCCCGCGCGGGGCTCGCACTGGGGGGTCGCGCTGTTCGGGGCCCGCGCGAGAGAACGCGCGAATATCCGACCGCGAGCAGGCGGCCGCAAGGTGATCCCTTCGCAGTGGGATCGCAAAGAATCCCGGCCACGGCGGCGGCGGCAAACGTTGGGGGTGGCGAGCCGCGGCGGCGCTGGGGGGCAGGAAGCGTCGGCGGCAAGTCTGGCCGCCCCTTCACCCCCGAGCTTTGCCTGCTACCGCCCCGCAGCTGCAGCGGCCTCTTCCCGAGCAGCGATCGCGCCTGCAATTGGGGGCCGCAGGTTTTTTGCCCGAACAGGGCTCGCACTGGGGGGTTGCGCTGTTCGGGGCCCGCGCAAGCGCGCATGAATGTCCGACCGCAAGCAGACGACCGCAGGGTGACCCCTACGCTCTGGGATCGCACAGAGTCCCGGCCCATAGAGGCACATGGTGGATGTTTTCCTGGCGTGGCGCTCAGAGGGCGCGGCGCGCGCCGTGGGCAGCGGGTTCGGTTAGCAGACAACGGACATGAAACATATGGAAAACGGAGACGCGCATTCTGCGGCTCCGAGCATACATGAGCGTAACACATATACTTCGGCGGACAGGCCGCGCGCGTGGCGAGCGGCCTAGCGCGAGCAATCGGCGGCCCAATGCAGGGTGCTATCCGTGCGGCCAGCCTTCGTGCACTTCGTGCATGGGATGGCGCGCTGTTTGCCGGCCTCGCGGCACTCCTCCAGGGAATGCTTGGCGATCCCTTTTCTGTTCAGGAGGCAGTTCCGGCAGATCGCGCGCAGAACCTCTATCATCGCCTGGCGAGGCGCGCCATCGACCTTGAACTTCTCGTCGAGCCAGGTCTGGATGCGCGCGGGGGCGGCGTGCTTGGCGAGCTTCTCCAACTTCGCGGTGAGCTTGGTGACCAGCTGCCTCTTCTGGAGGGTGAAAGTGGGCTGCGTGGGCGATGCGTCCTCGTTGGCTGCGTTCGGCAGGGGAACCGCTTGAAGCCCCCCGCCCGCGCCCGCGCGCGAGACTCGAGGGTGGGCGAAGGCAGGGGGCGGGGAGCTCGGGAAAGGCGTCGAAGGCAACGTGCGCTGAGGGCACCAAAAGAAAAGGTTGGAATAAACGAAAACGGTGAGGGGGGTATCAACGTAAGCCCAGCCAATCTGACACGCGGAACGCCGCGCCTCAGTTTCGGGGATCTTGAGGGCCAGGGTAAGATGTGAATTCGCATTGTGGGGAAAACAGCATGTGAATTCACATTTAGGGAAAAAGAAAGATGCGAATTCACACTCTGGAAAGAAGGAACATGTGAACTCGCATTTTTGGAATGTGGCAGAGGAATCTTTATGAAGGGCCTTGAATGTGAATCCACTCGTTGGGAAAAAGGAATATGTGAATTCACATGTTGTGAAAAAAAAAGAAAAATTTGAGTTCACATTTTGGGGGCATCGCGGGGCCCATTGCAAATCTGTCTTGGGGGTCGACAAGTCATCGTTTGGGACCGCGCGCTCTCATCCATCGCGCAAACAAGACACACTTGCTCTCCACCTCGCCGCCCCACGCGCGATGCGCAAGAACGCCCGCGCGCGTGAACAAAAATGGATGGGCGGCGCGTTTGCCCGCGCGGGCGACGCGTGGGCGCGAACGACTGGCCCCCCATGACCGCCAACATTGGATGCCAAGCATGCCCGATCACATTCATGAGCGATGCATTGAGCATACATGGGCCGTTCAGTTCAGACCCCACTGAAGACCCCTTGTTGCAGGCCACTTCTTCAACCTCCAACTTGTTCGAGCGGCCTGGCGTCCCTTTGGCCAGAGAGGCCTGGGCCGGCTGCGTCTGCAGCGGCGTCTGCGTTGGTTCCGCCGCCCGGGCTGACTTGCCCGAGGGTTGCCTGACCCCGAGCTCCCGCCCGCGGCAGTGCGGCGCTTCTGCGGGGCGCCGCGCGCCGCGAGAGCTGCCTCGCCGAGCAGGACGTCGATCCCGGAGTCCTTGACCAGGGTGCCCGTGTCCAGCGGCTCATTGGCGGACGCCTTGGTAGTCTTCTTCTTGTAGGATTCGATGATGAAGTAGACGAGGTTCATTAACTCTGCCCGAGGCTGCTCGCCGGCATTCGCCGGCCCGTCTTCCTTCGCAGCCTGTGCGACCGTGTGCCGCTTCTCCAGATGTGAATGCAAATCGAGAAAGGAACGGACAAACGCTCTGACCGCGCTGTCTGGCGAGTCAGCCCTTTTCTGTAGGGGCGCCTGGAGGCGGTCGGCCGCCCCCCCGCAGTGGGGCAGGCAGATGGGCTTCCACGTCAATCTGGCCGCGTATTTGAAGGCGGCCGCGCTCTTCAGAGCTACAAGCTCTGCGTTCTGCGGGTTCGCCGCCCGCGGGGCAAGGGCGTTCGCCGTGGCCGGGTCTTTGGCGACCGCGTCCGCCGCCTGGGTCGCCGAGTCCGCCTCGGCGGCCAAGTTCCTCCAGGCCGCCGACCACTCGGCCGCGGTCAGGGGGCGAAGCTTGGCCCTGCACGGGTGCTCCGCGTCCGCCCTCTGGTCGAACTCCCCCTTGAGAGCGGCCGTGATCTCTCCTCCTGGCAGGAGGGCCTGCGAGATCGCCCGGGCGGAAGCGCCCGCGGGGGGCGCGTCGACGGCCTGGGCTCCCGGCTGCCCCGTGCCGAAAAAATCGACGATCGCGTGGTGGACTTTGCCTCCCGGCTTGCTGGCCTCTTCGGGCGCAGTGGCCATCGAAGCCCCCGCGGCCTCCTCGTGCGTGGCCATGATCCGTGGAAGTAGACTGCGAGACAATCGGGCAACTTTTTCGCTAGAGAGGAGAACGCCTCGAGCCGGTAGCTGCGGAGACGTGCGACCGGCCCCCGCGATGATATGGGTGGCCCGAGGTGGGCCCCTGCATCGTGACGACGATGTGTTTCCATCGCTTGCGCTTCCGCCTGTTGGGCTGCCGGGGCTGCCGGCAAAATGTAGGGGGGGTCAGCGCGCGGCCCCCAGATCCGCGACTCCCCGCGAGGCCATCGGAACAAATCAGAACCTGCTGGCCAGGGCCTGCCTCGGGACCGCCGCCGCAAAAATGTGGGGCGGAACCGCGGCGCCTGGTTCCCCCCCAGGCGCGACAGCGCGATTCGCGCGCCAGGTTCGCGCGCGAGGTGAGCGTTAATAAATCGAGGACGGAGCGAAGCGAAGCTCGGGGCGTGTGCGCCCAAATCGCGTGGCCTCTTACATTCGCCTCGAATGCCGTCCGCTCAGGGGGGCGCCGCGAGGGAACGATGGCATTCCAGCTGGCCCGAGCGTGAAACTGCAAGCGCGCCGTGCGACGATATCAGCAAGGATAGACTGACGGACGGACGCGTCCCGCAAAGCGTCGGAGTTCCACCGAGAAGCAAACGGCGGGTCTCTCGAGCCCAAGTCTGCTGTCAAATTAGCAAGGCCACTCAGGTGGAGCGCAAGGGCCCGGCAAGAAGCAGCTGGTTCGGCCCGTTCAAGGCGTTCAGCGAGCCGCTCGAGCCGTGGAATGGCACCGTAGCTGATATTGATGTTATGCTATGCGGCCTTGTTGCCAACCCTGAACAGGATTCGCCATCCGCGAAACTCGTCAACGTTGTCCTCCAAGAGTTGGCGCGCTACCCAGAGCTCGTTGTAATTGATGTCGAGGGTCTCTGGCAAGCCCTCTACTTCAGAAGCGTTGCTGGGCCAAATGCCCGAAATAACTTTTATGGAATGGCACAAATGATATGGCCAACCTTCGGACGAAGTGGCGTCCGTTTCCACGACGCGGATCTGGCCGGTCCTGGCGAACGTCGCCCGCTGTTCGTACTCTGGTGACTTGTGGCCCCGGGTCGACAGCGGACCTCCGTGTCGATGCAGAACCCGCTGTGGCGGCGACGTGAATGCCTCGATCGCCCGCAACATGTTTTCCGACTCAGGTCGGGGAGGTGGGCGCCCCGGTTCGCCAGAGGCGAGAAACTCCACAGAGCGTAAACGCCAGCTGAATTCAGATCCGCCCAGATGGGATGGAGCCGGCGGCGCGCCTGCGGATAGAGCTCCGCGATGCGAGACGCGAGGCCCGCAGCGGATGCCAGGTCCCTTGCGAGGAGACCGCGGCGAGAATCTGCTTGCAATGCTGCAGCGAGCTGCTGTCTACAACGATCGCATTTCCCTTGAAATACAGTGACGACCCCCAGAACGGTGTCGAATATCCACCCGATCCAGCTTTGCCGGGTAAAAAGGGGCCTGATGCCTGTGGGCTTCGCGCTGACAGGAACGCCAGATGCGAGGAACAAATTGACCGTCCGATCGAGCGCAGACCAAGCTGAAGAGCGCGACCGCTCTGCCCCCCAGCAGGTCGTCCACAAAATCCAACAATTGCACCTCGCAGTTCTCGTGCAAAGCACGCAGCGCCACGCCACGCCACGCCTGCGCCATGCAGTGGAAGGTATCCGCGGAATCTGTGGCCGGGACGAAGGCCGCCAGGAAAAACGCCCACTATGCGCAAGCCCCTCCAATGGATCTCTCTCCCAGAACAGCCCCCCGGGTGAACCGGGGAAGCGGGGACCGGCCCGGTTGGGCCTCGTGCCCCGGTTGGGGCAAAACGGCCAGGCAAGGCCCAACATTTCGAGTCGAATCCAACGAAAAACCCAACGACGAGGATAAGACACGGGGAGCGAGGGCGCCGGACCGCGCGAAGCGTCGACGGGGGGTCCCCGTCCAGCCGCCCGTCCGGGCCAGCGGCAGGCGTGCAGCAATGGACGGGGGGGCGCAGATCAGGATGATGATTGTCACGGGCCGCGCCGCACAGCAGTGCCTCGAAGGGAGCGCGTCTGCGCCGCAGGCCGTGTCGAGTGCAGCCAGCGTGCTGCGCTGCGCTGCCAGTGGGCAGCAACGCTGCCAGAGGGCAGACGGCACCCCCTACGAAGCCCAGCGTCTCTCACATCCGCCGCCGCACGCCACGCCACGCCTGCACCATGCAGTGGGAAGAATCCACGGAATCTGTGGCCAGGACGAAGGCTGTCAGGAAAAACGCACTTTGCGAATGCACAGCCCCCTCCAAAGGATCTCAACAACAAGTAAGCCAAAAAGGCACGTTTCCTTATGAGTTGGGACGATTTTGCTCCTTCGGGGCTGTCCTGGGGTCCTTTGTGGATCTCTCTTGGGGCGTCTTGGGGGCCTCTTGGGTCGTCTTGGGCGCCCTTTCGGCCGGTTGCGGGCTCCGCTGGGCTATGTGGGGCGTGGCCCGGGGCCCGTAGGGCTGTCAGAACTGCCCGGGGGATGCTTTTCGGCCTCCTGGGGCCTTTTCGGCGACCGAAGCAATTGATGCACAACACCTTCTGGCACGCAGAGGTTCCTGCATTGTAGAAGAGACGACCATGGGCTCCATCTTTGCCTCCGACATTTCGCAAAGCAGCGCCAAAGCCCGCTGCCACTGGTAGCCCTTCTCGCATGCGCTGATGCCAGTACTGTAGCTGACCAGGGCTGACCCGTGGCTTACTGGCCACGGAACAAGTCCGATATTGCACGTTGGACCAGGGCAGAGATGTTGCCGAAAGGCTTTCGTGATCGCGTCGGGCCCGCACCCGCACTTCGCCTCTACTTCTGCTGCTTGCACCTGCAGGCTGCTGCTGCTGCTGCTGCTGCTGCTGCTGCTTGCGGCATGTTATTGCTGCTGCATATTTTGCTGTGCTGCCGTTGCCTGCTGCGGACTACGGTGGTTCGCTGTTGCTGCGTGAAGCTGCAGAATGCTGCTTCCTGATGCCCTTGCTAGATGACGCAACATGCAGCTCGTGAGTGGAGCGAGGAACGAAGGCAAAAAACGACGAATCAGGGTCGAGAGGGGGTGGTGGGGGAAGCGAGAAACGATCAGCGAGGAGCACCGAATGAGAAGGAAGGAGCAACGGCCGAGGAGGAAAAGAAAGAGAGAGAGAGAGAGAGAGAGAGAGAGAAAGAGAACGAGAGAGAGAGAGAGAGACACAAAAGAGAAACAACGAGAGAGAGAGAGAGAGAGAGGGAGAGAGAGAGAGAGAGAGAGAGAGAAAGAGAGAGAGAGAGAGAGACACTTATCCTGGCGATGGACCCAACCATATGCAGTTGCGAGTGCCGCAAAGCAGGTTGAGCGAATGAGAGGGAACTCCCTAAGGGGCCACGAAACGTGTGAGAGGTGTGCCGAAATGGGTGCGGCGCAGCCATGCGAACGCAGCCACTGGGGCCCTCGGTGGAGCTCCTTATGGGGCCACGAAACGTGTGAGGGGTGTGCCGAAATGGGCGTGGTGCCGCCATGCGGACGCAGCCACTGGGGCCCTCGGTGGAGCTCCCTATGGGGCCACGAAACGTGCGAGGGGTGTGCCGAAGTGGGCGCGGTGCCGCCATGCGAACGCAGCCACTGGGGCCCTCGGTGGAGCTCCCTATGGGGCCACGAAGCGCGTGAGGGGTGTGCTGAAATGGGCGTGGTGCCGCCATGCGAACGCAGCCATTGGAGCCCTCGGCGGAGCTCCCTATGAGGCCACGAAGCGTGTGAGGGGTGTGCCGAAATGGGTGCGGTGCCGCCATGCGAACGCAGCCACTGCGGCCCTCGGTGGAGCTCCCTATGGGGCCACGAGCCGGGTGAGGGGTGTGCCGAAATGGGCGCGGTGCCGCCATGCGAACGCAGCCATTGGAGCCCTCGGTGGGGCTCCCTATGGGGCCACGAAGCGTTTGAAGGGTGTGCCGAAATGGGTGCGGTGCCGCCATGCGAACGCAGCCACAGGGGCCTTCGGTTGAGCTCCCTATGGGGCCACGAAGCGTGTGAGGGGTGTGCCGAAATGTGTGCGGTGCCGCCATGCTAACGCAGCCACGGGAGCCTTGGGTGGAGCTCCTTATGGGGCCACGAAACGTTTGAAGGGTGTGCCGAAATGTGTGCTGTGCCGCCATGCGAACGCAGCCATTGGGGCCTTCGGTGGAGCTCCCAATGGGGCCACGAAACGTGTGAGGGGTGTGCCGAAATGGGCGCGGTGCCGCCATGCGAACGCAGCCACTGGGGCCCTCGGTGGAGCTCCTTATGGGGCCACGAAACGTGTGAGGGGTGTGCCGGAATGGGCGCGGTGCCGCCATGCGAACGCAGCCACTGGAGCCCTCGGTGGAGCTCCTATGGGGCCACGAAGCGTGTGATGTGGTGTGCCGAAATGGGTGCGGTGCCGCCATGCGAACGCAGCCACGGGGGCCCTCGGTGGAGCTCCCTATGGGGCCACGAAGCGTGTGAGGGGTGTGCCGAAATGGGTGCGGTGCCGCCATGCGAACGTAGCCATTGGGACCCTCGGTGGAGCTCCCTATGGGGCCACGAAGCGTGTGAGGGGTGTGCCGAAATTGGTGCGGTGCCGCCATGCGAACGCAGCCACTGGGGCCTTCGGTGGAGCTCCCTATGGGGCCACGAAACGTGTGAGGGGTGTGCCGAAATGGGTGCGGTGCCGCCATGCGAACGCAGCCATTGGGGCCCTCGGTGGAGCTCCCTATGGGGCCACGAAGCGTGTGAGGGAGTGTGCCGAAATGGGCGCGGTGCCGCCATGCGAACGCAGCCACTGGAGCCCTCGGCGGAGCTCCCTGTGAGGCCACGAAGCGTGTGAGGGGTGTGCCGAAATGGGCGCGGTGCCGCCATGCGAACGCAGCCACGGGGGCCCTCGGTGGAGCTCCCTATGGGGCCACGAAACGTGTGAGGGGTGTGCCGAAATGTGTGCGGTGCCGCCATGCGAACGCAGCCACTGGGGCCCTCGGTGGAGCTCCCTATGGTGCCACAAAACGTTTGAAGGGTGTGCCGAAATGGGTGCGGTGCCGCCATGCGAACGCAGCCACTGGGGCCCTCGGTGGAGCTCCCTATGGGGCCACGAAACGTGTGAGGGGTGTGCCGAAATGGGCGCGGTGCCGCCATGCGAACGCAGCCACTGGGGCCCTCGGTGGAGCTCTTATGGGGCCACGAAGCGTGTGATGTGGTGTGCCGAAATGGGTGCGGTGCCGCCATGCGAACGCAGCCACTGGGGCCCTCGGTGGAGCTCCCTCAGGGCCACGAAACGTGTGAGGGGTGTGCCGAAATGGCGCGGTGCCGCCATGCGAACGCAGCCAGTGGGGCCTTCGGTAAAGCTCCCTATGGGGCCACGAAACGTGTGAGGGGTGTGCCGAAATGGGTGCGGTGCCGCCATGCGAACGCAGCCACGGGGGCCCTCGGTGGAGCTCCCTATGGGGCCACGAAGCGTGTGAGGGGTGTGCCGAAATGAATGCGGTGCCGCCATGCGAACGCAGCCATTGGGGCCCTCGGTGGAGCTCCCTATGGGGCCACGAAGCGTGTGAGGGGTGTGCCGATGGGTGCGGTGCCGCCATGCGAACGCAGCCACGGGGGCCCTCGGTGGAGCTCCCTATGGGGCGCACGTGTGAAGGGTGTGCCGACATGGGTGCGGTGCCGCCATGCGAACGCAGCCACGGGGGCCCTCGGTGGAGCTCCCTATGGGGCCACGAAGCGTGTGAGGGGTGTGCCGAAATGGGTGTGGCTGACGCGGAAGGGGAGGGGGGAGGAGGCGGAGGAGGAGGAAGGAAGGAAGGAGAGGAGAGGAGAGGAGACGCGGGGCACCGTCTCTTCAAAACGAGGACCCAACACCACAGGATGGTTGGGAAAAAAAAAGGGAGAGAGGAGATAGCGCGTTTCACGGGCGCTTGCTTTGGGAACAGTCGGCGGCGCGTTTCGAACCAGGGGGTGGCCCCCCCCCCTAAACGCTCGGCCCACACTCGGCGCCGTCGATCAGAACCAGGGGGACCCCCCGGGGGACCCCCCTCCCCCCTCCCACCCCCCCCTCCCGAACCCCCCTCCCCCACCCCCATCCCAAGGCGGGGGGGGTTCAAAACACTCTCGGGCGCCGGCGCCAGCGCTGGCGGCCGCCAGCAGCGCCGACGGCGGGAACGCAGCGACGATGACCAGAGGCAGCCCAAGAAAGGAGGGGGTGGTGGTTCCAACTCCCCCCCCCGCGCGGGCGCCGTCGCTGGCGCTGGCGGCGGCCAGCAGCGCCAGCACCGGCGCCGGCGGGGACGCAGCGACGATTACCACCACTACCAGCATCACCACCACTATCACCACTACCACCACCTCAACCCACCACCACCACCAACCCACCACACAACCACCACCACCACAACCACCACCACCATCACCACCACCACCACAACTCACCACCACCACCACCACCACAAAAACCCACCACCACACCACCACCACCACCGCCACAACCACCACCACTACCAGCAGCACCACCACCACAAAGCACCACACCACCACCACCGCCGCCACCGCCACCAGCACCACC